GCAAAGACTAAAGTCTCAAATCCAAAGAGATATTCTTTATAAAAGTTAAGAGTCAGCCACACCTACCTAAAACTGCTCGTTCTAACACGCCCCAACATACCTACGTCGCTCTGTGGGAATATTAGCATAACGCCGCCCAAATGTTCAAGCAAAGAAAGAAGGTGTAACTTTTATTCTCGCTCACATGTGGTTGTCGCCGCCGCCATGTCGTGGAGACGCTGTGTGTTTCTTTGTGAAAGTGAAACTACTTTGCTTGGCCTTCCAAAAGAGGACGATATCTGCTTGTTTCAGAAAGGCGGGGCATTAGGGCTGAACGATTTTAGAAAATAATCATAGCGATTTTTTTTTTTTTTAACCAATATTGCGATTGCGATTTAATATGCAATAATTTTTTAATGCTCTTTATGTTCTGTATTATTCAGCAAAGACAAGCTATAAATCATTGTATAGTATGACCAACACAATATTAGATAGATTAAACATAAATGTTCTTTTCTGTAGGCCAGGCCTATATGTATTTTTATTTAACAACTACAATCACAGTATATTGACTGATTTGTTGAACTTCCAACCTTGTAAGCATGTAATAATTATGACAACGTAAAGCACTGACAAATAAGCCTAATGTAAACGTTAATATGAAAGTCAGTAACAAATCGCACAAACTAAAGTAGATTGCAGAAATATAAAAACAAATCTGTTGCTTTACCACACTACTTTAGGTCATTCAAAGTCACTGTAATAAACATGTGTAAACATGTGGACTGCACTTTTTAAACACTGTCTGTTAACTTTAGACCAGTGGTTCTCAAACTTTTTTGGTCGCGCCCCCCTTTAAAACCCTCATCCGTCTCTCCCGAACCTATAACAAAAGTGTCCCTCGCGGGTCAAAATGACCCGAAAGCCAAAAATTACACATTTTATTTCTGGTCCAGAAAGCTTATATTGGAACATTTTTATAATTTTTGTTCAAATTTTTTATGAAGGTTTTTCTATTATTTTTTGGTGATTTTATCATATTTACTAGGGATGCACCGATACCGGTATCGGGCCCGATACTGGGCTCCTGTACTCGTACTCGTTAAAATGCCCCGATACCAAATGCCGATACCACACAGCATGTGATCAGTGCTTTAACTAAGCAAAACAAGTGAAACATGAGAAATTAGATAATCTTGAGGCTTCAATTTGGTTGTTTATGGATTCAAATATATATTGAAACATTACAAAATCCATATTTTGTAAAAAAAAAAAAAAAAAAAAAATTTTAACCTAAACATGAATATTCATACAATTTCATAAATATGTAAAATATATAATATATATTTTAAAATATATTCTAAAATATAAAAAAATATGCTTTCTCTCGCCGTATTTTGATGTCATACACCGATCGATTTTCAATTCGAACACACCTCTTTACTCTCGCGTGTCACGTGGCCGAGTGTAATCGTAGCCTCTGCGATTGAAAAATTGCGTTTTTTCATATCGCGATATTATCGCAAATGCAATTAATCGTTCAGCCCTACGGGCGCATAAACACATTTCATTACACTAAATACACAAAATAATGTTCTTTTTAGCAACATCATATGACCCCTTTAAAGAACGGCTTTTTTGAAAAAAAGATCACGTGTACTTCAAATTTCTTTTGAGAGAAGTATTATTTTTCCTATTTTTACCCAAAATAGGATGGATTGGCCATAATGGAGTACTATAAACACATGTAATGTTTGTTTCATTCATACTGGATCCTGGAGGGCGCCCTCGCGCAGAAACTTTTCAAAAACGTTTTGAATGATTAAGTATGACAATAAACACTCGCCTGTGGCAATATAGTTTATTTGTGTTCTTCAAGCCATCTCAGGTATTTTCAGATGCTTCTTACATCCGTTTTGGAGCACCAGAGGGCAAATATTTCAGTCGACAGCTCGGGCATTTAAGTGGTACCGAAATGAGGCACCGAAATTTGCCTTCTGATTCGGTCTGGTACATACCGGCATAAAGGTACCGGTGCCATATTGGCACCAGGTTTCGGTACCCAACCCTAAGTACAGTGACACTGACATTGAAAGTAAAATGCTCCTCTCATGTTTAATGTGTTTCAGGTCGACTTCATGCCATGCAGACAGGAATGAAACTAGATAGCAAAACTCCAGAGTGCCGAAAGTATCTTGTGAAACTAATGGATCAATTGGAAATGGTAAGTCCTAAATAGTTTCATTTCTTTTTTACCTCATTAACTCATTAAGCACACTATTCAACTGATGTGAACTATTTATAACTATTCACATAAAGGGATATTTATAAAAATGTACTGCCTTATCTTGCAATATGCTGATATTTACAGATAAAACTAGATTCATAATTCTAGACTCATACTTCTGGTTTTGAATTCTTTTGTGTATGTGGCAATAGCAAAAAAATGATGAGTGACCTTTTGTACTAAGGCCACTGTATTCACATCACAGTTCAAAAGGTTGAATTTATAGGTCTCCTCAGAAGGAGAGCAGGAAGCTACGAAAAAAACTTAGCTTTTATGCTTAGGTGCTGTTATTGACATTTCAGGAACCAATTAGGCGAGAGTGGAGACCCTGCAGTCTCTAGAGCTCGCTTTTACTATCGCCTCAGCTCAGTTCATTAAATGTCACAGAAACGGGAAACAGCAACCTGTGGAGACCCAGATCCTGGTGGGCACATCTGGTCAAAAGGTCTGAAGCATACAGTGTACTGAACTCTCATTTAGCACTGTTCAACCTGTGTGAAAGGATGATGCTCTGCTCTTTAATTATGATCTGAATCATCCACCTGTCATTCAGGGGATTATGTGCAAATTTTTTTTTTTAGCTTTATAGCTATTTATAGATTATGTATAGGAGTTGTGAGTTTAAAGGGATAGTTCACCCAGAAATGAAAATTCTGTCATTAATTACTCAACCTCATGTCTTTCCAATCCCGTAAGACCTTCGTTCTTCTTCGGAACACAAATTAAGATATTTTTGATGAAATCCTAGAGCTCTCTGACCCTCCATAGACAGCAAGGGTCCTACCACAGTCAAGGCACAGAAATGTAGTAGAACATCATTAAAACAGTCCATGTGACATCAGTGGTTAAACCATAATTTTACAAAGCTATGATAATTATTTTTGTGCACAAAGACAACAAAAATGACAACTTTATTCAACAATTCTTCTCAGCCAATTATGGGCTCCTGGCTTCTGAAGCATTTATAAAAAATATTACTTCTAATTCTCAGTGATCTCAGAGTTTTTGTCTCATAGACTTGCACAGAGAAGCAAAATGTGCGTGATAAGGTTCACTTCACCTATATCATGCTCTCGTGCTAAATATCAGCATGCGTTTTGGCCAAAAAACACATAGCACCTTCTTCGATTTTCTTAACAGAACAAGCTTCCTTTAGTAAGAGTGTTAAAATGACTCCAGTGTTCCTTTTTTTCCAGGGGGATTTTGGGTAAACCTCATGGAATCGGTGTGCAGAGACAAGATCTAGTTTCAGGGCTTTGATTTAGTGTGCACTGGCAACTGAAAGCGTCCAATCTCGCTTTCTCTTTCTGTGCTGTTTTTGCACACTTCCTTCCGACTTATGTTTTTATATTCTTCTGCAATACAGCACAAGTGATGTACTGTGCCTTCGCAATGATTTTCATAGAATAGGTAAAAATTTCATTAAAATGTGAACAGTGAGTCCATTCAGGCGCCTAGGTTCCACCTGTTGAAATGTAACCAGTCGTATTTGCTTTGCTGATTTTACAAGGAAACCTGACGCTCTCTAGCAGACTGTAACAACACAGAGAGGAAGGCATAGCCCAGGGGCCGCCGACTGGCTGAAGCTTTGGCGTTTGGGTGCTGGCCATTTCAAACCTAAGTAAAGGACAGGGTTACCAACATTTATGTGTTACACTGGTTTATCGAGATCAGGATTAAGGCTGCAGATGTGCTGAAACCTGCCATTCCTTTTGATGCTGCAATTACATTTTTTAAAATGTTTTGTGCAGGACGACCTCAAAAATTGCTTATGTTTATATAATATCAGTCTAAAATGTATTTTAAATTAAGCTACAGCACATTTATTGTCAATGTACCAATATGGAGAAGAATGAAGGCCATGAAGACAAGTCTTGTTGAAAACTCAGGCTAAGAAAACAAATGGATATATTTAGATTTGGTGCTGTCTCAGTATTATTAGAAGTGAGGAAAGCATAAGCCTGCTTTAGTCCATGCAATGCTATTGTCTGTTGCATTTTAACCATTTTCTTTGAATTAGGAGGTTACAAATTAATTCGCCTGGTGTCACAGAAAGGATCATAATAAAAGCTGGGTGAAGGAGTCCACTAATTGCGCGTGGGCAACCCTCTAGAGGGACCCTCTTTTGCAACAAAATATTAATTACACTAGACTTCTGGAGTGGAATCAAAGTGGCCGATGCGTCATTAATGAGTCATGCTATGGAAACTAGGGCTTTAGAATCTGTCATAAGTGATGCAGTAAACACTCTTTACGGTATCGCCCACTCTAAAACATGCTAAAATGACCTAATTTGCATAGCACTTAAGATTATATTACCATTAACATCAGTGCTGCACATGGAAAACTAACTTTTGAGTGGTTCTTTGTGTTTCAGATGAAGAAGGAGCTCAGTGACAATGAATCCATCTCGCAGGAAATAGTTGGCAATGCCCACATTGAGAATTACGCCTTGAAAATGTTCCTCTACGCAGACAGCGAAGATCGATCAGGACATTTCCACAAGTAAGTCAGGGTCTGGATTGCATTGGTTTGCCAGTCCCCAGACTGTTCAGACTTGAAATGTGTTGCTGTTTAAATGTGCCGTCCTTAATTACAGTTTCACCGAACTGTGACACAAAGTAATCCTACTGTCACCTTTGCACATACAGAGAGTGAGTAGCGGGCTAAAATTAGCAACAAAGCTGGTTCTGTATAGGGCAGTTGCCTGGGAGTGAGATGGCATGGATTAGCCAGGTGTGGCGTTACAGGTCACGGCAGTATAATGAAGCTGTTGTGGACAGTGATGTCATAAGCAGTGCAGTGCTGGTAAAGGGTCCAGGAGCTGAATACCTGGCAGTGACTCAGGCCTCAGGTCATACAGACTGGCTCTTCCCAAGGAACTTTTAAGTGATTGTTAGTTTGGTTGTAGCTAGATAAACCCGAGTACACATTTATAAAATGTTTACCTAGAAGTAATACAATCTCAGAAATAAACTTCAGGATGTTGTCGTTGATGTAGGAATTTTGTATGCGATGCAGTTGCGCAGGAAAAACCTCCAGTAGTAAATTGCTAACAAAGTTTTATGTTGCTGCAAGAAGAAACGACAGGTTTCATTCTGAAATGGATAAACTTTGGCATTTCGTGCCACATTTGCACTTATGCTCTTTACCCTCTTCCTGCTGATGAGGTGTAGAGTGAAGATCTATCTTACTGTAGGAAGCTGTCAGACCTGCATACACTTCCTGTCCAGAGGCCACTCTTCAGGATGTATTCACATACTCAGGGTTTGTTCGAACAGTGCAAAAGGTGAATCATTGTGTACTTTATGATTTTACTTTTAAAAGGTACTGTAGTTCATGACATGTATCCTCATTCTGGAAAAACAATGCTTGTATTGTCAGCAAGTTCCTTTAGGTTTTCTTGAACATGAATGTATAATTGTAACCCTAAAGATTGTATAGAGAGTGAGGTTTTTCTCACAGTGATCAGAGCAGCGTGCCTGAAGATGAGAGTGTACTGAAAGGGCTTTAAATTAATCACTTTAAGTTATATTTGTTTATTTTCATTTAAAGAGGATATTCACTTGGTATAGTCTCACGTGTCATTTCATGGTTCTTTGTTCTAGGAAGTTTGAACGTTGACGTGTTTGATTACAGCAGAAGTGTGACTATGATTAATATGTCCCGATTTCTCAGAAAAATAACACATTATTTGACAATATTACGTTACAAAGATTTCGATTTAAAATAAATGCTGTTCTTTTGAATTTTCTTCGAAATAATTTTCTTTTCATTAGAAAATCCTGAAAAAAATGTATCACGGTTTCAAAAATATTAAGCAGCACAACTGTGGTATTGACATTAATTGTATTAATATATAACAATATTACTGTTTTTGTTTATTAAATAAATGCAGAAAAAATCTTTTGAACAGTAGTATGTGTGTAAAATCCAGATGTTGTTCGTTTTACACATCTGCTTTGAGACTTACAAGTGGCTTATTTGTTGTACTTTGAGAAATTAATTGACTCCAGTGTTAACAGTTTAATGTGTGTTTTGATCACAGGAATATGATCAAGTCCTTCTACACCTCGAGTCTTCTGTTTGATGTGTTGAGTGTCTTTGGCGAATTATCAGATGAGGTGAGTCACCGTGGGTCCTTTCGTCCCCTACATTGTCAACTGAGTAAGTCTGTATTTTGACGCCAAGGCTAGTATGACAACGTCGTTTTGTGTTGAAGGGACATAAATATGGGCCTGAGATGTATTTCTTGACACAGTCCCTCTGTTTCTGATGGCACAGACACAAGCTCGCCTAATTTAGTGGAACGTGAAAACGTCTAATGGAATCAAATACGTCATTAGAGCCATGTTCTCGTGTTCAAATCTGAAAACTGCCACAAAAACATGAAAAGGTGGAAATTAATGGGAAACTATAAAGCTGAGCCCAAGGACTGACAACGCCTCACCAGACTCAATGTACACAGAGGTTTTGAGAGGCCAATTCTTGGCAAAGTTGTGCCTGGAAAGTGTTGCTAATCCACCAGTTGAATCTGTGTATTTCTAGTGTGCCCATTAGACCATCCCTACTGGTCGCCATGGCCGCAGATGTCTCTTTTATATAGAGGGAAGTGACCTGTGTCCGAAGATGGACAATGTTTCATTGAGTGTTCTTCGCTCCCTAAGGGCCAGACATTTTCCTACTGTAGAGAGCTCATTGGATTAACTGTTGAAACAGTGTGCCTTCTCTGTGTAACACTAACCCAGACAATGAGCTCTCAGAATCGCGCCCCATTACTGTGCTGTTTCTCTCCGACAATGCCACAAGGAGTTGTGCCATATTAGATTACATGAGGAAAGGGAACTTTTTAGTCCTAGATTTGAGAGGACTCGGTTCTGATGTATGTAAAAGTAGAAGTAGAGATGTGAAAGGGCTTCAAGAGTCTGCAAGACCCTTTTAATGGTTTTGAGCTGGTGGTGTAATTACAGGTGTCAGCATGCTTCAGACCGTTGAAAATAAAGCCGACATACTCTGAAATCATTAGATAAAAAAATGTTTTACAGTACAAATTCAGTAATTACAACTCTTATATGAATAATATGCTGAATGCATTGCATTCATTTTTCATACTGCAAAAGATTGCTTTATTTAATGTATAGTTCTGACTCTAAAATAGCTGTTACACGTACATCCTTGAAAACACATCAGTTAAATTCTGTATTAATTTGCTAGGACTTTGTATCTGATATATCACTTATAGCTAGGCTAATATACTATAATATTTAACAGAATAATTGTTTATTGTGATTATCATTACATGTTTAGTCGTGTTTTAAAGGGGTCATATGACGTTGCTAAAAAGAACATTATTTTGTGTATTTGGTGTAATGAAATGTGTTTATGCGGTTTAAGGTAAAAAAAAAACATTATTTTCCACATACTGTACATTATTGTTTCTCCTCTATGCCCTGCCTTTCTGAAACGCGTAGGTTTTTACAAAGCTCATCATTCTGAAAAGCGACGTGTGCTCTGATTGGCCAGCTGTCCAGTGCGTTGTGATTGGCCGAATACCTCCAGCGTGTGACAGAAATGTTACGCCCCTTACCCCATACTGTGATGCCGTGTCCCCCTGGTGTGATGAGACAAAACCAATAAAACCCATTACAAACTAGGCATTTGTAGCATCCAGTGGGGACATAATTACTGATTATAATGACTTATACTGTCTTTTAAGGCCAAACAATGTAGTTTCGCTTTCACAACGAAACACACATCATCTCCAAGACATGGCGGCAGTGGTAACAATACTACCGCGAGAATCAAAGTTACACCTTCTTTCTTTGCGTGAACATTTGGGCGGTGTTATGCAAATCTTCCCACACAGTGACGTAGACATGTGGGGGCGTGTTTAAACGAGGCGTTTTAGGAGGGCGTGGACAAGTCTTAACTTTTATGAAGAATATCTCTTTGGGTTTGAAACTTTAGTCTTTGTAACTTTAGGTATCTTATCTATGCACGAACAGCTTGCAACACTCCAAAGAGAAAGGAAAACTTTAAATCGCATCATATGACCCCTTTAAACTGGAGTCCAGGAGTCCCCAGAGGCCTTCTAGAAGGTCTGCAGAACTTTTGGGAGAAAAATTGGAAATCAGAAAATAACGGGAAAAAAAGAAAAGTTAACTTAAAATTAGGGCTGCACAATTAATCGAATTTCTAATCGCGATTACAATTATGGATGCCACAATTACGTAATTGTTCAAAGTCCACTTATGTTATTCTGTGTGCTTAAGATGCTTTTTTTCTTTCTTTCTACATGTTATCTTAAGGGTTTTTCCATTGTTTTAATTTTAGTTTTAGTATAACACTATAATATCATTTATATTTTTTACTTTTTTTATAATTTAAAGAAGAAACCAATCCAATGTATAGTTGACATTTGAGGCTTAATACTATAGAAAAACACTAAGTTTTTCAGTTAGAGTGTTTTCAGCTTGTTTCTTTTCATATAAAAATACAGCATGCAGTTGCATCAAACAATGGTATAAACATCATTCAATGTAAATTGTGATCATTGTAATTAATAATCGCAATTATAATTTCAAGGCAATAATCGACAATTATGATTTTTGTCATAATCGTGCAGCCCTACTTATAATATATGTTGAAAATAATATGTTTAAAGCAGTCATTTTTATTATGCTGCTTTGGAACAATATTTATTGTGAAAGTGTTATTTATTAAATTGAAACTGTGTCTAACATTACACTATTAGTGGTTAGAAAGAAAATATATGCTGTCAGTTTAATACAAAGTAAATATTTTCCAGATAATATTTTAATTCTTTTTGGTTTTAATACAGAAAAACTACAAAAGTAACTTTTTTATTTTGTTTGTCTTTATAATATTACGTTTAATATTTTTCTCACTAAGTATACATGAAAATATATAGCTGTCTTTGTTCTTAGGAAAGGGGCCTTTTTACAAGGGTGTCACTTATTTGTGGGTACTTAACATCAAAAAGTTTGAAAACCCCTGATTATTGGTTATTTAATAAATATTGGTGTCTTTTAACGTATTGCATACGCCATTCAAGGAATTTCTCTTTTCATCACGCATAACAGCACTTAAATTACATTAAATCAGTTTCAATGTCTTAAAAATTTCATGTCTTATTGCTTTATTCGATACAATGCAGAACATACCAGTCATTAAACTCACATTCATAACGGCATGTACCGTAATCATGGTCATGAGTGAATCATTCATCAGTCAAGTGTTATCCATGTCATATCCAGACAAAATTCTGACAAACAAATCAAATCTGCGCTTTTAGTGCCTGTTGTGTTGTTGGGAAAGTTCATTAATTGAGCATTTCTTATCTTAATGATTGATTGACTGACTGACTGACTGACTGACTGACTGACTGACTGACTGACTTTTCACAGACTGACTGACTGACTGACTGACTGACTGACTGACTGACTTTTCACATTTTCTCCCCTATCCAGAACATCCAGCACAGGAAGTATGCAAAGTGGAAGGCAGCCTACATCCACAACTGCCTGAAGAATGGTGAGACTCCGCAGCCAGGTCCTATTGGAATGGAGGGGGAAGCATATGGTAAGCGCTGATATTATATCTGCTCCCCCAGAATGATCCTGTGACTCCCATTAACAAAATACACACCAGTCTGGGAGGCTTTCCTCCAGGTTTACTAAGTGGCTTCCTCGATGTGAGTCTGTTGTTTCTAAATCAGTAAATGTTAGCACATTGTGTGCCTTATCAATTTGTGAAGAACACAGGAGATGACCGCCTCGCGCCGTTACCCTCCCCCTGCGAGTCAGCACAGGCTGCTATTTATGTAGTGATTATTTAAACAATAAGGGTTGCCACCCCTTTTAATAGTGTGAAAATTGTCCACTGTTGGCTAATCTAACTATTTTAAGTTCAAGGATAGTCATTAGGATGGAAAGGGCTGAAGCATCATGTCAAGTTAGGGTTACACACGGAGAGTGAATGCAGAATTGAAATGTGTCTTTAAAAATTAAATGAAAAAAGTAATACCTTGTAAACACAGTGTTGTTCCTAGTCAACTGATGAAAAAAAAAAGATGGATAAAGCCAGCCAAACGTTAGATCTTGCCTGATCGAGAAAGTACTTTCCAATTTTGTTACATTTAGTAACTGTTTGCAGTCTGTGGGTGTGCCATCTGAGACGGAGTTTGATATCAGACGCAGCTAAAGAGTTTTTTTTCCGAAGATTAAAAAAGTAACAGCATAGTAATAGGAAGTTGCATTGTAGTGGTGATTTCTCAAGAATGTGGATAAGAAATCTCTCACAGCATATGTAATTGTGGATTACCTTTAGCCAGTATATAGGATATTATATTTCAACCAAGAAAAGAAAAAAGTAAATTAATGTAATCAATTCACAGAACGCAGATAGATTGCCTATTGTTTAATAGATTGCTTATGTTCGCTATAATAAAAAAATTGGAATGGTTAATTCAATGATTTTTATATAGTTTTTATAGTTACATAAGGCCAAGGTTTTGATTTGGAAATTTGGAAAGGAAAAGTGTTTACACAATATAGCAATACCAAACCCATTTCCTCTTGAAACTTTAATTAAATGAATGATCACCAGACATAGAACACCATGGTCATGCCAATAGCATATAGCAGGGCTATTCAACTTTATCAACAAGTGGGCCAAATGAAACATTCATCTGGGCAAGCCTGAGCTAGAATATTTTGTGAATGAAAGCAGCAGAGAACAGTTACATTTATATTTTTGGCCATTTAAAAAAATAAAAGTAAACATACAAAGCTTTTTTATAGCTGTCTTTTATAACATTTTGCAGTATTTATGACAAACATTCCCAGCTAAGATGAAATTCTGAATAAATACAGTAAATTGGCTTTCAAAATGTATCTATAACATAATGGAATAAACAGAATAAAGCTGACTGATTGCAAGTAGACTGATTCAAGAGCTATGCATCTATTTTATAGTGCCTCTTCACATTTTGCTCTTTCACTATGGTTACAGTCTCGTTTCATAATAAACACACTGGTTGAGAGCAAATTGCATTCATTAGTGTGAATAATGCCTGCAATCCTGATTTCGTCCGTTCTACTTGGAACTGGTGGTTTTCATTGTCTATTTTTTCAGTTTTGATAAGATTTGATGAGACCGTAAAAGATGCCTCACCGATTTTAAACCTGAGTGATTGACAGTTGACACATACATTCTCCACAAAGTGCATGCAATGGCACATTTATACTGCAAGGAAAGCAGTCTAAGAGAAATGGGGTGAAATAACTGGCAACCTTAAGTGGGCCACCAAACCTTTTAAACCGGTGGAATTTGCTAAGTGGGCTGCCAGTTAAATAGGTCTGGAATATAACATATTTCTAAAGTAGAATATACAAATCGATCTACTTGTGAAAGCGTTTTGCAGTTTACCAACTGTTACCAACGATATGGTTGCAGTTTCATTATAAAGCATATCTTGTTTAGAGAGATAATGTGATAATGCAAGATAATGTATTTTATAAGGTTGCTTATGTTTAAGAGTGAAGAATGTTCCTCGTTCATGTGGAGGTCAAAATAGTGCTTGGCGGTGGGATTCAGTTAGGTCACTCTCCCCTCCACATCTGCTGGGCGTGCTGCTTTTGACCTGACCTGCTCATGTCAGAGATTAAGTCATCCGTAGACTAAGCCGTTGGGATGTACACATACATGCACAGTATGTTTCTGTATTATGTGATATTTGTATAATGTTGCCTGTATCATCACTGGTTTTATTCTGTGCAAGCTGATTTATTTTTAACTGCTGTTAAAACTCATGTAACAAGAGTTTTCTTCACGTTGTAATGCTATTTAAATTTTATTTCTTGAGCTTTACATCTAGCAGCTGGGTCCCTCTTGTTAAGTAGTGACCTCATGCTTGGTTATTCCCACTGATGTACAGCATTGCCAAGAGAAAAATGATAGCATGCTTTTGCTTTGCTAAGTTTGAGCACATTATCACAGATTTATCGCTTTCCATGTGTCCGGCTCATTGCCTTTCCAAGGGGGTCCCTTCAAAAAATTATTATGACAATATGCCAAGATGTTTATGTTCTGTATAACGAACACCAGACCTTGTTTGAGGTCAGACCTGCATCAGGTCAGCTGATTAACTGTTTTCTGTTAGTCAACTTATTCCTGTGTATGCTGGATCCCAGTGTGACAGTGCATGTGACGAAAGCAGACAGAATTTTGCTCCTCAAGGATGTAAATAGTTATCGCTGTATTGTTTTTTTAAAAGCAATTATTTCCACTAATAAAGTAAATTGCTGCGCTGTTTTGTTTAGATGGTGAGTGTTTTATTTGTTTAGATTTTATATTTTAAGTCGTATACATGTACATGAGAGAGGGTGTTCCAGTGGATGACGTAGAACGTAGGCGAACGCGGTGAGGAACAAGAGCAGAGGAGAGCAAAACAAAACACCGGTCACAAATTAGAAGTACAAAACGGGGATTTATAAAGAAAAATGTCGGATTTAGATATAAGCCAAGAGGAGACTGGTTTTCCTTTGATAAACAAAGGAAACTTTGCTTCCTTTGCTCCTGTAAACAAAACTTGCTTCTTGCGAGACTAGCAGCATATTCTCACCGGAGCTTACGCTACGCCTGCATCCTATGTCATCCGCCATTACGCTCTCTCGTGTACACACATAAGACCTTTATTTTGTTGTCATTGTCTATCATTTTTGTTTGTTGATATTTGTATTACTGTTCGTATACTGTTTTTGAGCATAAATAAAAAATACACACGTAATTGATATGTATACATATCTATGCATACAACAGTTAGCGGAAGCTAGAGATAACGGTTTGTGAAGATTTAAGTATGGATATTTTTCTTACAAAAATGCATCGCTTTGCTTCAGGAGGCCTTTATTAAGCCCCTGGAGCTGTGTGGAGGACTTTTTTTATGATAGATGGACGCACTTTATTGGTATTCTGTTGGACTATTGAATAGTAACCCATTCACTGCCATTTTAAAGCTTGTAAAAGCCAGGACATTTATTTTAATATAACTCCAAATGGATTAATCTGAAAGAAGACAGTCAATATACACCTAGGATGTCTTGAGGGTGAGTAAATCATAGGGTAATATAAATTTTTGGGTGAACTATCACTTTAAGAACAGTAATAGTGGTATTGCGTCCTTGCACAGCAAGCACACCTCGGGGCTTGGGAAAAAGGCTTATTTGAAGGAAAGAGAACTGATCTGTAACTACTTTATCAATTAGTATACTATTCCTAAGATTCATCTACAGTGTTTACACCAGTAGCTGTTCGTTTCCTGGAGCAGGCTTTGCACCCGTGCCATGAATCCATGGAAAGTAAGGGTCTCTTTATTTTAGCCTGTTGAGAAATTAAGGTCAAACTGAAATGAGCTCTGGTGTCAGGACAAGTACAGCTTGGAAAAAATGAGAGGTTTAGAGTGAAGAACATGCTCTAGACCAGGGGTGTCAAACTCAATTCCTGGAGGGCCGGAGCCCTGCAGAGTTTAGTTCCAACCCTGCTCCAACACTCATACCATGTAGTTTTCAAATAAGCCTGAAGGACTTGATTAGTTGTATCAGGTGTGTTTAATTAGGGTTGAATCTAAACTCTGCAGGGCTCCGGCCCTCCAGGAATTGAGTTTGACACCCCCTGCTCTAGACATACTGAAATCATTGTCTAAATGACTCTTTTGTAGTATTCAGGTGAAACTCTGGATTTTAATTGGTTTGCATTAAGTATTTTATATAAGCAAGGTTGGCCTAAATTGAGACACCTATAACAGGCAAGACCATGTGTATACATGTACAGTATGATAATGTATAACATTATAACTTTATGTAGCATGACTGATTGCAAAACGTGATTTGAACATGCTTCAAATTTAATTATTCCCAATAATGACAGCCTTTTGCCCTGGCAAATTAAATTACCCATAACAATTCTAATTGCTACTAGTTTGTATTATTACAGCATCTTCCTCCTATTGCAGTATTTTGTCAAATGTTGCATACATGTAACAGTTCCACAGATGATTTTTCCCCCCTTCCATACTTTTCCAGATGAACATGACTGCAACATTCCGAGCAATTCATCTTGCATGTTGAAACAATTCCATCTGTTCACAATTTATCCATTCCCTCCCTGTCGCTAATTAGCACAGAATACATTTTTCTTTTAAGTTTAATGTAGGTCACAATTGGCCAGCAGCTGTACAGTTTGGTTGAGCACACCCACTTTTCCGAATTCAGCTGTCAGCGCAGATCAATAATAAATAAAGAGACGTATTTGCAGAGAGAGCTTCTTGTTGACTTTTACGAATCCATAGTGCGCTTGAGCCAATGTTGGTTCCCTCTCCATCACCTTCCTACTTAAAACAAAGGGCTTTTGGACTGTTTTCATCAGTGAGAACTTCAATGGAGTTTTAAAATAAGTTTAACAGATCAGTCTTTCTTATGCACTGGGCAGTGAAAGGTGGGTTCTATATTATGGATTGGCACTCAAGTTCTTGAGTACCCTGAAATGGTAGCACTGATTGATCATTAAAACAGAATATTTCCCCTTTTTTTAAAAAGAAAACTTACCAAAACATCAATAAGTCACATTGATAAGTCCAGTAAAAAATATGCACAAAATAAAGCTTATTTACGGTTTCATTTTTGTCATTGGTTACAACTTTTCATTTTGTTTTTGACCAGCTTTTTTTCTTGCTGATTTATCATTCAGGAATTTGACTTTTTCTCCAGGTCCACAGCTCTCAACACTGTTTAGAGAGGGTCAGGTGCTCATGTGAATTATATGTGGATTACTCGCATAGAAAAGGTGAACATTAATTTTCTATGTGCTGTGTAGTTTGTTATACATTGCTGGTATTTATTTCCTTCACTGCTCATAGGAAAAGCATGATATATATTCAGGTGTTCAGAGTTCTCTCCAGAGCCACAGCTTGTTCACATAGCTGTGGTGTGGATTATTAAGAGCAGAAAGGATGGCTTTTTTGTAGTGCTATCATTGTGTAATCACAGTGTGTCTTTTCACTATGGCAGTACAAAGCTATCTCAAGTATAGACTTTCATGGTCGTAGTCTGCCAACTTATGGCCTTTTTCACAATTCCTCATCTGCCTACAGCATCGCTCTGAGAACAAAACTCTCCTCCAGGATCGACCAGGAATCCCCCTGATCTGTGGCTGAACAAGCCCCTTTGCACATAAACCATATGAAGGCCATATTTTCATAATAGCATAATATTTGTTTGACTTGCCCCACCCTTATTATTTCACCGCCGATTATGAAAATAAACCCCCTGACACATGTCTAGGGAAAGGAAAGTCGTCAAAAAAGCATGTTTAAATCAACCAAATTTGGAAATGTGTTTTTCATATGCTTCATTTACGTGTTCCCTGTGATGGAATGTTATATTGAAGTTTTACCTTGTTATTAAATGTTGCTGATGCAGGCAAATACATATAACCTCTAAACTGTTTTACTGTAATATAATATTTTTGCGAAATCTAATCTGCCCAGGGGCTTTAGAAACATTATGAATGTGGGATTGTTGTTAAATTTCAAATGGAAGAACCCAGCCACAGTTTGTTGAAATTTCTTTTTTTTTTCTTCTTGTTCTATTTATTTATATTCATCACTCATTTTGGGGTGTCTTAGTGTTCAGCTTGCAGTTGATTGAATTGGTTCTGTGTAATGGCTGTCCTCATCAACCTATTCCAGGGTTTTGAGGAACAAAAATGTTTCCAGCTTAAATCAAATCACGCTTAAATGTCACTTGCATAATAGTTTCAGTTGATAAAATTCCATGTGTCCAAATTTCATATTTTTATGTAATGTTTGTTTCCCTGTGCTGCCAAGTATCTCCTTGGCTACAGGAAGTTTGTTGTGGTACTTTCAGATTGAAGCCATTTCATCAAAGGCTTTTACAGCTTTATTCAAAGCCCTCCAACAGTTGACTTGCAGTGAGACTCATTTGTTCCATGATTTGTATTCATGATAAAATTGTGTGAGAAAATAATGCTGTGGACATAGGAATCTTTTCAGCACTGGATGCGATAATGTGAAAAAACAGAAAAGCCTTTAGCCTTTACTCCTTACTCTAGGAAGTAAAAATTCTTCCTGAATTTCATTAGTTTTATCATTACTCCCAAAACAAAGGCTTTTTAAAAGAAGTGAACTCTCTGGATGCTTTCACGACAAGCTTAATGTTGACCAAGCGTAATGCTGTATGCATGAACATATTTGCTTGTTTTTCTCTTTACTTTAGATGATGAATTCGGTGCCGAGGTTGGTGGTCCTTCACGCCTTTACTCCTTACTCTAGGAAGTAAAAATTCTTCCTGAATTTCATTGTTTTGGGAGTAATGATAAAACTAAAGGCTTTTTAAAAGAAGTGAACTCTGGATGCTTTCACGACAAGCTTAATGTTGACCAAGCGTAATGCTGTATGCATGAACATATTTGCTTGTTTTTCTCTTTACTTTAGATGATGAATTCGGTGCCGAGGTTGGTGGTCCTTCACAAGAGCCTCAAAATCTACCCCATTCTCAGCCTTCTTTCCACGGCCATCCATCAAATCAACCCCCAGTGTCCAATTTCAGTAATATTCAGATACCTCCTGGGTCACACGCCCCAGCCAATACACCTGCAGAGGTTCCCCATCCAGAAGGTAAGCTAGCTGAGCTTAAGTGTAACCATCTGCCATGCTTCCACTATACAGCACTATTGAAAAGTTTGGGGTAAGTAAGAAATTAATACTTTTATTTAGCAGAGATGCATTTGATAGAAAGTGACACTAAAACACATTTATAATGGTACAAAAAATCTGTTTCAAATAGATGCTGTTTTTGTGTACTTTTTATTCATTAAAGGAATCCTGAAAAAATATATCACTGTTGCCACAAAAAATATTGCACAACACAACTGTTTTAATATTGATAATAGTCAGAAATGTTTCTTGAGCACCAAATCAGCATTTAGAATGATTTCTGAAGAATCATATAGCATTAAAGACTGGAGTAATGGCTGCTTGAAAATTCAGCTTTGGAATCAAAGAATATATTATATTTTTAAATATATTAAAATAGAAAAAAGTTATTTTAAAGTGTAATAATATTTCACAATATTACTACTTTTACTGTAATTTTGATCAAATGCAGCCATGGTGATGCATGAGAGACTTCTTTAAAAAACTTCAAACAATCTTACCAACCCCAAACTATTAAGTGGTAGTGTGTTTTTTTTTTCCAGGAACAGTTTCTTGTTTATTGATAGCCATGCATTTGATAACTAAATTTAAAGTCAGTATTTGCTTACTTAGTGTGGGCAGCGATTGATGAACACTGATTGTCATTCATAACACAAATCCCTTGACTCAAATGTAGAGGTTAATTAGTACTTCTCAGAGGACTGGGACAGAGCTGTAGTGTATTTGCATGTAGATTTCCCATACTTCAGGGTTCCTGTTTTTCTTTCTAAAGCACAGAAAGGCAGACTCAGTGTCCCCATGAGGGGCATGTTTCCCCTGGTAACTTCTGTTCTCTGTGATTAGTGCTTTGACTTCCAGACACGGAAATGACTAATCTGCAACATGGCACCCTAGAGGTGCAACCACTTAATTTGATCATGCTCTCATTTCCTTGCTTTTGTATTTTCCTCCTTGGAAAGATTGTGCTCAGCCGTAGCTGGTAGCTGAGCGCATCTAAATCAGTTACAGCGGGCTAAAATAAATGGACTAGTTAATTCATCCATTACAGTTTTTCAACATACTATCAGCCATAATTGCAAATGCAAAAGTGCATTCATGGTCATGAGCTTATGGACTTTTTCCCCTCTTTTGGAGCAGCAGAGCCCGTCAAACCAGTGCCTGTTCCACGAACCATGCCAGTGGTTGATCCTTCACTTCTAAACAATACCCAGGAAGGTAAGCTTTTTGTTTGAAGAAGACTCCTCTTCACTGAAATCCATTCTCACCAAAGTCAGCAAACAGTCATGACAGAAAGGATAGAACCTAATTTCACAGATATGATGGACCTCATTTTCTGCTTATAAAGCCAGAGGAAAAATCAGACATTGCACTGGATTTTCTGAAATAAATTAAGGCTTTATGGGAAGCAGATTGACAGTTTTGTCTTATCATAGTTGGTGGGAATGGCCACAGACGAAGCTCAAATTTACATTCCCTTACTACCAGCCATTGTGTCACTGGAATGTACCTTTAATAAGAATCAATGCCTATTGTGCCCAAAGCTACTGTTGGCATTCAGCCTGCCAATTAAATAATTTAGCTAATTAATGAGGTCATTTCATATACAATGACTGCCCATTATTGCTGCAATTGCCAGAAATAGAGCAGATTGAGAATTTTGTAGTGCAAGACCCAGATACAAATTTGAGACGACAAAAAGTTGCTTTTCTAGCCCAACCAGACATGTATACATTGAAAACAGAGCATCATTTGATATTGTTTTGGCTAATTGAAGTCTGTCTGCTATCATAACTGGTACCCAGACAGGGACAAATAAGGAAGATGACACATAAATATTAGTCATTATTAAGTAAAACCTCAATGTGAAAAGTTTGCAATGTCATACTGCAAATTGCTTTTCCAAGCTGTCCTTTCTGAATCATTAAGGTTTTTCGGACAACATATCGGCCATGACATTGTTTAATTGGTTTGAAAGTCTGCACCGCATGAGACATTAATTGGTGATGTAAAACAAGGCTCTGAAAGTGAGGTGAGTTTGGTAGGGGTCATCCTCCCAAGAGTTACAATATCTGAACCCATTTAAAAACCTGTTTACTTGATATTGCACAGGCCAAGGTAAAAATAAAGCATTCATCCATGAAACCAGGAATTAGAAACTGTTCAAGCAACAAAAACAAATTAACGTAGATCAAAGTAATGCGAAAATGGTGGGGTATTTAGTAATAATTAATTATAATAAATACTTTTAGTATTATTTAAATATCATAATAGTATTTATTAATATGTAATAGAATTAGATTTATTATCAATTTTCATTTTAAGTTTTAGGAATTTCGTGCTTTTGTCTTTTTTTTTTTCATTTTTTATTAGTACTTAAATTTAAGCATACTTTAGTTAGTTTAGTCAAATATTTAGATTTTATTTCAGATTTATTTCAATTACCGATTTTTTTTTTTACAGAAACCTATTTTAATAGTTTTAATTTTAGTTAACAATAACACCATATCTGATTCAACTGTAAACATTGAAACATTACTGTTACAAGCATTTAAAAATAAAATTACTTGCCTTATATTTGTTGTTTTGATGCCAATATATTTTACTAACATGATACTGTATGAACTATATATGAGATGAGGTCATGCCTTTTTCCTTAATTCTCTTTGGTTAAGTCAAGTGTATAATATTATATCATACTGAATCTGTATACTTTAATTCTGTTTCATTAAATAGGTTAAAAGTCTTTGAATTTAGTTAATTCAATCCCTTTTCTCAACCCATGCTGATCTAATCACTATTTTCAGAGTAGTTAATGGTGATCGATACTTGCAAGACAGTGATTAACAAGGCCAGCAAATACGCTGATATGCCGACATGCCACTGAGACAACCGCTCTGCCTACACCAAACAATAACAAACCTATTACCAATTACAACAAGTCCCAGGGTGGATCATGCCACTACAGTGTAACTGGGAAATGCGTCTTAGTTAACAAACAAATCCTCATGTCACAGAACATGTACTTACCGGCAGTCATGTCTAAAGTGCTGATTAAGCTAGTCTTCAGTCTTGCTGCACCAACCAAGAGGCCTCAAATGTTCAAGTCATTCTAATTGCATCTTTGGTTATTTCTGTGCTCTTTTCATTTGATCAGCATTATAAGTAGAACATTTGTGAATGACACAAAGATGAACCAGTGTGAGACCCATAAATGCACAAATACATCTTCTGTTCCACATTTCACCCTCTCTACGGCCAAAATAAATGACAACCAAGGTCATAACGTTACCAGTATAGTAACTTGTTGAAATGTTCTTGAAACAAGCATTTCAGTTGAGATAGTTCTGTGCTTATAGTCTTCACAGACTTCGTGTATATTGTAGTAATCGAGGTGCAAGCAGCGCTTTTGAATGAGGCAAAAATGTATTGTGGTTAAATATTAATACTGGAGAGGAGACAGGATCTAGAGATCTTTTTAGGTTCCCAGTCATTTTTTATTAGTACTTAAATTTAAGCATACTTTAGTTAGTTTAGTCAAATATTTAGATTTTATTTCAGATTTATTTCAATTACCGATTTTTTTTTTTACAGAAACCTATTTTAATAGTTTTAATTTTAGTTAACAATAACACCATATCTGATTCAACTGTAAACATTGAAACATTACTGTTACAAGCATTTAAAAATAAAATTACTTGCCTTATATTTGTTGTTTTGATGCCAATATATTTTACTAACATGATACTGTATGAACTATATATGAGATGAGGTCATGCCTTTTTCCTTAATTCTCTTTGGTTAAGTCAAGTGTATAATATTATATCATACTGAATCTGTATACTTTAATTCTGTTTCATTAAATAGGTTAAAAGTCTTTGAATTTAGTTAATTCAATCCCTTTTCTCAACCCATGCTGATCTAATCACTATTTTCAGAGTAGTTAATGGTGATCGATACTTGCAAGACAGTGATTAACAAGGCCAGCAAATACGCTGATATGCCGACATGCCACTGAGACAACCGCTCTGCCTACACCAAACAATAACAAACCTATTACCAATTACAACAAGTCCCAGGGTGGATCATGCCACTACAGTGTAACTGGGAAATGCGTCTTAGTTAACAAACAAATCCTCATGTCACAGAACATGTACTTACCGGCAGTCATGTCTAAAGTGCTGATTAAGCTAGTCTTCAGTCTTGCTGCACCAACCAAGAGGCCTCAAATGTTCAAGTCATTCTAATTGCATCTTTGGTTATTTCTGTGCTCTTTTCATTTGATCAGCATTATAAGTAGAACATTTGTGAATGACACAAAGATGAACCAGTGTGAGACCCATAAATGCACAAATACATCTTCTGTTCCACATTTCACCCTCTCTACGGCCAAAATAAATGACAACCAAGGTCATAACGTTACCAGTATAGTAACTTGTTGAAATGTTCTTGAAACAAGCATTTCAGTTGAGATAGTTCTGTGCTTATAGTCTTCACAGACTTCGTGTATATTGTAGTAATCGAGGTGCAAGCAGCGCTTTTGAATGAGGCAAAAATGTATTGTGGTTAAATATTAATACTGGAGAGGAGACAGGATCTAGAGATCTTTTTAGGTTCCCAGAAATGCTGTACCTAAAACTATTTTGAAAGCTCACAAGTGCTTTGGTGGGTCGTCTCTGTCCAGTTCATTATTTGGTTCCCACATTATGGATTCAGTTCAAACTGTCACTCAGAATGTCACTGTGAGAGCCAGCATAGTTTACATTGTGGTTAAGGCATTCGTGCACCATGACTATAATATTTCGCATGTCCACTGGCAAATGACTTAACTTAAGTATTCATAAACTCGCTCAACCTCAGCTCACCCTATAATTTAATGTGCTGGTGGGCACTGGAGAGACATGCATGTGTGAAATGGGTGCATGGCTTTACAGAATTTTCCCCTGGAAATCATTAAAATACTAGCAGGGAAGGTAGCTGGTGATAACTATATATATATATATATAATTTATATATTCACTAATGGTTTATTAATGACTTAATATACACTACCATTTCAAAGTTTGAATTATATGATTTTTTTTTTCATTCTAATATGCTGATTTGGTGCTATAAATGTTGAAAACAATTGTTGTGCTTAATATTTTTGTGGAAAAAGTTATACTTTTTTCAGGATTTTTTATGGAAAAAGTTGAAAACAGCAGCATTTTGTTTTTAAAACAATCTTTTAGAAAGTTACAAATGTCTTTACCGTCACTTTTGATACATTTTTAATGTGTCCTGCTAAATAAAAGTATTTATTAAAAAAACATCTTACTGACCCAAAACTTTTCAACGGTAATGTGTATATATATACTGTAATGTATATATATATTGTGTGTGTGTGAGTGTGTGACCCTGGACCACAAAACCAGTCTTAAGTCGCTGGGGTATATTTGTAGCAATAGCCAAAAATACATTATATGGGTCAAAATTATAGATTTTTCTTTTATGGCAAAAATCATTAGGATAGTAAGTAAAGATCATGTTCCATGAAGATATTTTGTAAATTTCCTACTGTAAATATATAAAAACTTAATTTTTGATTAGTAATATGCATTGCTAAGAACTTAATTTGGACAGATTTAAATGCGATTTTCTCAATATTTTGATTTTTTTGCACCCTCAGATTCCAGATTTTCAAATAGTTGTATCTCGGCCAAATATTGTCCTATCCTAACAAGCCATACATCAATGGAAAGCTTATTTATTTAGCTTTCAGATGATGTATAAATCTCAATTTCGAAAAATTGACCATTATGACTGGTTTTGTGGTCCAGGGTCACATATATATATATATGTATATATATGTGTGTTTGTTTGTTTGTTTGTGGTGTCAAAATTAGCGCGTTAACGCAGGCAATAATATAAAAATATTTAACGCAATTAACGCCGGGGCGGGGCTAGGGTTGTCCTCCCCACTCACAACTGCTGCTTCTGTCACTTTTTCTCTTGACAAGAATTGCATTTATTCACGCGCACTGTAGCCTGTATCCTTTCATATCAAAGTGCGAAATAAACTACGTACATGCAATTTCGTGGTCAGTTAACTCATGAAGTTACCAAAAAGGCGATTAAAGCTGCCTTAAAACTGTGCATGCATGTAATATATTTTATATGAGTCA